GTTCTGGTTGTTGGTGACCGTGATGACTACTTCTCGCTGGAGTTGATGTTTGCGTTGAATAAAGCATCCCGAGGAGCACATATGTTGTCCGCAGCAACTGTCCAGAAACCAGGTGTCTTGCCCGGACGGTTCGCTTTGAGCGATGGCGGCGTACGTCGGATTCGGTTGGAGTGACTCGCGGCGAGGCGTACTGTTGTCGAGCTCTTCTTCCGGTGAGTAGTGAGGTGGTGATTTGGTTGTGCACGAATCAGTTATCTTCACCATGCAATTGACAATGTTTCTTGCTCCTTGTGTAGATTGTCCTGTTGGAGTCGTTGGAGCTTGGATTGAGGTCGTCGGATTTGCTTGTGTTGAGGCAACTTGGGAGCTTGAAGGCCGGAGTTGTCGCTGTGGTGTTGTCTGACGAGACGGGCAGTGCGTGCGAGGGTGTCCCAAAGTCTTGCAGATGTGGCACAACGGAGGTACCGTCTTCACTTGTTGCTGTTGTCGATTGTTGTTGTTGTTGTATCGTCGCTGAGTGTGAAACGCAAACTCCGGTGCTAATGTTTTCTTCTTGTGTCTTTCTTCTTGTAGGTCCATGTCCTGCTGCTCGGCATGGATTTCGGCGCAAAGTGCCGCTTCGGAAATCCTCCCGTGTGCTCGTAATATGGCGCGACTGGAGCGCCAGTGGGGGCCGAGACCGCCGATGACCACCGTGACAAAGGCGTCTTCTGAAATCGACCCTCCGCATCGAAGAAGCTTGTCGCGCAGTTCGCGGCAGCGGCTGATATAAGCCATGCTTTTCTCGCCTGGTTTCATTTCAATTGTTGTCAACTGCGCCATTAACCTGCTTTGATTTACGCTGTCTGTTGCTTGATACAGGTTCTTCAGGTGGTTGTACGCGAGCTCCGCGGAGTTGCCGTAGCCTCGGTAAGTCCTGATGTTCTGCTGCTGGGTCGGGGTGATGTTTCTTAGCAGTATCGTGTACGCCATCATTGATTGATAGGTGTACTGCTGCTTCTCATATTGTGTCCCGTTTGTTGGATATGGCAGGGACCCGTCGAAGAAGCCGAGAATCTGTGCTCCTTCCATCATCAGTTCGAACTCGAACGACCAGGTGAAGAAGTCTTTTCCGTCGAAAGGCTTTGTCGTTTGCAGCTTGAGAACATGCGCGAATTGCGATTGAACTTGTAATGCGTCCAATGCCCTTTCTTGTCCCGGTGCAGATTGCGGTTGCGGCATGAAGCTGACGGAGCCACGCTGGGGCTCGTACGGCGCAAAGGTAGGCTGGTGTTGTTGTTGTTGAATTCCGCGTGCGTAGGATGAGCCGTCGAGACTCATAGGAGTTACGTTGTTGTTGTTGCTGTTGTTTGACTGCGCAGGTACTCCTTGCTGGTGCTGCTCGTAGAAGGACATGAAGGAGAAGAATTTCTCCATCATGCTTGGATCGAAGCCTGCGGGCGTTTCCGTAGACCCAGCTGCTGGTCTCGTGGTAGTCCCTCCTTCCGCCTGTAGACCAAAGACAGGAGGTGGAGTAGGGGTAGTGCCTGGAGAACCGTTGGAGGAGCTCTTCTCCTTCCTAGTAGACATGTCTTCCTTGTATTAAGTATTAAGAGAAAAAGGAAACTTTGAACTCTGTCTGCTCTCATACCATGTTGGGCTGAGATGCCCTAGGATCTTTGTAGAGTTAAAGTCTAAGTAGGATTGTAATAGCGGAAGCGTTTGAATGAAAAAGTCCTTGAACCACCTTGCGCTAGTACGTGAGGGCAAAGTAAGTTCATTAAAACAAGCAAATACAAGGCTTTATATAAGAGTACAAGGAATACGAATAGATATAATTAAACTGTTTTGCTGTTGCGATTCGATAAGTGCGACTCGGGCAACTGCTCAATGTCGAGTCAGTTGTGTGTCCTTGCTGTCGCGCTGTATTTGTCAAGTCAAAGGTCGCTGACTTTTGACCTTCGCGTAACCTCTAAGCGGTTACCCTAACCTCCGAGGGTTGACTCGCGATGCTTCGACTTGGACTGCTTCGCTTGTATCCTGAGTTTCGACACGACAGAGGCGCTTTAAGACTTATTGTTCCCAACACCCATCCCACTCCCACATTCGTGGAATACTGGAGCAAGGCTTCAGCGCGCCAATGCGGATCTCTCTGCTAATTACCGACCAGAAATTGAACAGCCTAGATCGTGCCACATCATTTTAATACCCCACCCAATCCACCTCACTTACACGTGACCAAACCAGTCAAGAAGTGACTGGTACAGTAAGAACGCACCACCGTGCGCAATTCTGGCCGGCGGTTGCATGAACCCTCGCCACGCAATTGGCTTTGTTTTCACCCTATCAAGAGCCAAAATTGCCCACTCGAATATGCCACGTGGCAGATTCCAGTGGGCGATCACGTTATCCTCGTATACTCGGTTTTGCGGCACTGGTCAACAATCTTGAAGTGAAGTCAGACACCTGATTTTGTTTCACATATTTTCTACTTGATAAAAAATATACAATATAATAAGACCCGGGTATTATGTAAGATTTTCCTTTGAGGAGACCCCCCCCCCCATTTTTTCCCAATGGTTTTCATAATACCCTAGGGTGTTTTATCAGGGAGAATACTGACGAGAAGTAAGAATGAACTATGAAAAGTTTGGTACAAGTACTAACCCTAATTGGGTTGTACCCCTTATGGGCTACCCCACTACAGCCTACACAAATGTATAAGCTATAATGTTCTGACACACCCCCATAGGCAAAGTGGGGGAGAACAAGTGGTCACAAGACCAGTCAAGCAAAGCAAAGCAAGCTCAGGGTGGATCACAAAGTCACCACACAGTCCGAGCACAAGAGTAAGGCCACAAGGCCAGTTCACATGCAAGGTCATATATATAAAGGTAAAACAAGCAAGGGCAGGTATAGAAAGAAGACAGTACAAACAAGATCAAGAAGTGAGCAAGTGAGGCCAGGTAGGCACAAGACCTAGCACAGTACAGAAGCGCTGATGATCACAAGGCGGAAGGGCCTTGGTGAAGATATCAGCAGTGTTGGCCTCAGAGGCCACGTAGGTGAGGCGGAGCTGACCACGCTGCTGCAGCTCACGAGACAGGAAGTAGCAAAGAGCAATGTGCTTCGTTCTGTGCTCCAGTCTGTGCTCCCGACACAAGGCCAGCATGGCCTTGTTGTCTACGTACAGAACTGGAGGAGAACGAGGCGGCTCTCCTAAGCCAGTCAGCAGGTAGATGAGCCAGCGTAGCTCCTGTGCAGCCATGGCCCCTGCGTAGATCTCAGCCTCACAGCTGGAGCCGAGAACAGAAGACGAGCGGGTAGACCGCCACGAAACAGAGCCGGAGCCAAGGCTGAAGGTGTAACCCTGTGACGACCGCTGCGTAGCCTGGTCGTCAGCCCAAGAAGCGTCAGCGTGACCTTTGAGGACTACTCGACGTCGCCCTCCAAGCACTAGCCCCATGCCCGACGTACTGCACACGTAGCGCAACACCCTCTTCGCTGCAGCCATGTGCTCTGGTCGGTGTCTCCCAGGAGCAACATAGCGTGCCAAGATGCTAAGAGGGTATGCAAGGTCAGGTCGTGTGCAGGTCATCAGGTACATGAGGCAGCCAACAAGCTCTGGGTACGGGCCACTCGACTCTACGGACTCATCCGAAGGCAGAGCTGAGAGCGAGTGGCGAGTAGACAGAGGAGTGGCCTGAGGCGAGGAGTACGTGAAGCCGAAGCACTGAAGGACCTGCTGCACCATGTGTGACTGAGTCAGGGTAATGGTGCGCTGTGCTCTGTCCCAGGTGATCTGCAAGCCAAGGTAGCTGCTCAGCTCACCCAGGTCTGTGCACGTGTGTCTCTTCTGCAGTTCGGACTTCACGTGGGCGAGTCCAGCAGTGTCAGCAGTGGCAAAGACCAGGTCGTCGACGTACACGAGGATGTAGAACGGCGGCAAAGAGGTGTCGATGCGTAGAAACAGCGACGGGTCGGCGGTAGAAGGAGCAAACCCAAGAGCCGCAAGTGTAGTCCTCAGTGTGTCGTGCCACTCACGGGGTGCCTGGCGGAGACCGTAGACTGGCCGCCGGAGGCTCCACTGGGTGCCAAGAGGAAACGACCCAGTGAAGCCAGGAGGGCGGCGCGGCCAGATCTCCTCGTGCAGGCTGCCCTGCAGGAAAGCAGTGCTGAAGTCAAGAGAGTGAAGCTCGTAGTCGCGCTGAGTGGCTATGTGCAGCAGCACCCGAAGAGTGGTCATCTTCTGGGTGGGAGAGAAGGTCTGAAAGTAGTCAACTCCCTGCCGCTGACTGAAGCCTCGAGCCACGTAACGCGCCTTGAAGACAGGCGGAGAGCCCGGCGGCCGCTTCACCCTGAAGATCCACATGCCACTGACGATGTTCGCCTCAGGTGGGGGAACCTCGTCGACGTAGGTGCTTGTGGACTTCCAGGAAGCCATCTCTGCGTCCATGGCCGACTGCCACTGAGAGAAGAAGGGACCCTCGATCGCCTCAGCGTACGATCGAGGAGTCGGGATGTCTGGTGCATCCGGGTCTCCCTCAGGGGCAATCAGCGTGGACACGAGATGGGGCAAAGCAGCCGCAAAGCACTGGAACTCCTCCTGCCTGTCTTCAAGGACGTCCGTGCTAAGAGCACACTCACCCCCGACGGACGGAGGACAGACTGAATCAGACTCAGCAATAAGACTAGCAGCGTAGTCTAGACGACTGCGAGCAGCGAAGTCGACAAGCTCAGCAACGAGAGCAAACGCAGTAGCAAACTCAAAGGAAGGGTCAGTGACGATAGTAGCAAGAAGGCGCGTGACCGAAGGACTAGCAGCACGAAGGAAGTCAGTCTCCGGGTCAGCAAGAGAAGGAAGAAAGGACTCTGTAGGAGACGGCAACGGGAAACGCAGAGGAGCACTGGAAGGACGCAGTGCCATCTGGTGTGTGCCGGGGACCGCAGGAGGACGCGGACGTGGAGTACGACCACTAGTGCGAGCAGCACGAACAGGTGACGCGGGACGAGACGCAGGCTCACGACGCTCAGCAAGACCTCCAGTAGGACCAGCGTAGGGAGAAGGAGCAGGTAGAGGGGAGGCGGGCAGTAACTGTGACCGCGACTGGACAGGCGGTGGACACTCTAGGGGAGGAGCAGGACCAGTAGAGGGCGGGAGAACAAGAACCTGCTCCAGGAGCGGAACGAAGAACGACCTCAGCCGCGCAGCGCCTCTAGAACCAGCAAGTACGGCACCAGTACCCCCAGCGGCAGCACCAGCGCCAGCAGAACCTCCAGCTCCAACAGCGCCAACTCCAGTACCCTCAGAAGCACTAGCGCCAGCAGCACCGCCAGCGCCAACACCCCCAGCAGCTCTAGCTCTAGCAGCACCAACTCCGGTAGGACCGTCAGCACCAGCTGCCTCAGCAGCACCCCGAGACGCACCAGCACCAGTAGAAACACCAGCTCCAACACCCCCAGCAGCTTCAGCTCCAGCAGCACCAATTCCAGAAGGACCGTCAGCACCAGCTGCCTCAGCAGCACCCCAAGACGCACCAGCACATGTAGAAACACCAGCGCCAACACCCCCAGCAGCTCCAGCTCCAGCAGCACCAACTCCAGTAGGACCGTCAGCACCAGCTGCCTCAGCAGCACCCCCAGACGCACCAGCACCAGTAGAAACACCAGCACCAACACCCCCAGACTCAGAAGCACGTCTCGAGCGGCGGGCGAACCACACGCGCAGCTCATGTGGAGAGAGCGGCTCCCGCCTCGACGAAGTACCGCCGGCGGCCACACGAGCAGACCCAGTACCCCCATGCTCCGCACCCCCAGACTCAGCACCCCCAGGCTCAGCACCCCCAGGCTCAGTACCTCCAGTCTCAGCACCCCCAGACTCAGCACCCCCAGACCCGGCACCCGCAGACCCGGCACCCGCAGGCTCAGCACCTCTAGCAGCACCAGAGTCTACAGCTACCTCGACAGGGTCGACTGCGTCTACCTGGGACACACCTGAAGGGGCAGGACCCTGAGGAGGGAGGGGGACTACCTGAGTAGCACCTGGCGCTAGGAAGAGCGGCGGCGGGGGGAGGAGCGTAGTGCGGTAGGGGAAGAGACGGTAGTAAGGCACCGACTCGTCAAAGGTGACGTCCTGGGAGGACAGAACATGGCGCGTGGTGGGGTGGTAAAACTGCCAGCCAGGCGCGTTAGGGGGGAAGCCAAGGAAGACGCAAGGAACAGCACGGGGGGACAGCTTGTCCGCAGACAAGTCGCGGACAAACGCCCGAGATCCCCAGACCCGAAACGCAGACGCATCGCCAACCTTCCCTGTCCACCGCAAGGCGGTGGAGGTCTCTGGCAAGGAGACCCGGGGCTGAAGGTTGAGCTGATGCGCGGCGTACTGAACCGCAAACGGCCACAGAAAATGGGGGGCAGCCGCATGCATCATGAACGTACGCGCGACGTCCATGACCATGCCAATGCGGCGCTCAGCAATCCCATTTTGCTGTGGAGAGGCCGGAAGCATGAAGGTCTAGCGGATGCCCTGTGCCCGACAGAAGGCTCCCAGACGAGCAGAGGAAAACTCCCCTCCTCTGTCCGAGTGCAGACGCAAAACAGGAAAGTCAGAGCCGAAACCCTCTCTGAGCTGGAGACGAGCTGCGCGGATCCAGTCGATCAACACCTCAGTGACGTCACCCTTGCTGCGCAAGGGGAAGACTGTGGTGTAACGCGAGTAGTCGTCAACGACCAGCAGAAAGTACCGCTCTCTCCCCTGCTCACTGACGCGGGCTGGGCCCCACACGTCCATGTGTAGAGTCTGCAGCGGAGCCTTTGTCGGAGGAAACTCGGAGGAGTGAGGGGCGGCGCGCTGTCGCCCCTCGACGCAGGGGACGCAGGTAGGGCCAGGCCCCGGAGGAAGGGGAGGGAGAGACCGAGGAAGACCAGAGACAAGGACACGGGAGGCCATGCCTCGGAGACGAGGCAAGGAGGGGTGACCAAGGCGGTGGTGCCAAAGGAGAGTCTTGTGGGATAGCAGACGACACGAGCAGGGGGAAGACTCAGGACCAGACCTGGACGCCGTAGCAAACACCTGACTCGACGCAGCTACCTGGGCAGACTCAGTAGTAGGAGGAGACTCAGCAATAAGGGTGTACAGGCTCGACCCTGGCTGACGGGTGAACGTGGCCAAGTGTCGGCCTGTCCGAGCACACCTGCAGTGGGTCACTCGCTGACTCGCAGGAGTGAACTGGTCAACCCCTCGATCCTGTAGGTCCGCTCCACTCACCAAGTTCGTAGAGAACGAGGGGAGGTAGAGACCAGACAGGGTGCCAGAGGGGGCTGCAGGGCACGGAAGGATAGTGGAGAAGCTAGCAAGGACAGGACCCCCAGAGGGGTCTGCGAGGGAGACTGCAACTCGCCGACTAAGCGGCGTAAGAGTGGTGCGGTCTCGAAAGAAGGAGCGGGACGCACCCGAGTCCAGGGTGAAGGTGTGGAAGGCCTGAGCCGACGTAGTACCTGAGAGAGCAGACTCACCAGCACCTGGGGCGGCAGACGCACTGGCACCTGGGGCAGCAGACGCACTAGCACCTAGAGCAGCAGTCTCACCAGCACCTAGCGCAGTAGCCTCAATGCCCGGGTCAGGCGGTACACACAGGTAACAGGCACCCTCAACACTATCAGCAACAGCATACATGGCAGCAAGAATAGCATCAAAGTCAAGATCAAAGATAGCAACCCCGGCCTTAGCCAGATCTCCCCAGCGAGGGATCTCTGACGCATCAGGGATCTGGCGACGCCACGCGTCCGTCAGGCGACCAAAGCAGCGCTAGGTGGAGTGCAGACCTCCGCACTGCTCACCAGTGCGGTCGTCGGTACGGAGAACGTAAGAGAAGGGACCAAAACCCCCACCGCGCTGGCGTGCAGTATATAACTCACGAAGCTGCTGAGGGGACAGGGTCATACCACTCCGCTGCTGCTGCTGGCGCTGACCACCACCGGCGCCACTCCTCGGCGCAGAGTCGCGACTCGCTCCACCACCGCCGCCTTCGCCGCCGCCGCCGCCTCCGCCGCTTCCGCCGCCTCCTCCACCTCCGCCTCCTCCACTACCTCTGCCGCCTCCGCTCCCTCCGCCACCTCCACCGCCTTCGCCGCCTCCACCGCTGCCGCCGCCGCCGCCACCCCCAGCACCACTCCCACCTCCACCCCCACTCCCTCCACCGCCTCCACCACCACCTCCACCGCCCCCTCCACCTCCTCCAGTGCCCTTGCCCCCCTTGCCCTTGCCGGTGCGGCGTCTCCCGCTCGGGGCAGACGCAGCGCCGACCGACTCGAAACCAACGAGGTCGGCCGCAGCATCAGAGGCAACAGAGAGGCAAGAGGGGGGAGGGAGAACACCCCTCAAAGATGAGGGTGCGAGGGTCACCACGAGAGGCTCCTACAGCGACTATGCTCTTCTCTATCGCTAGGAGGGCCTTCTCGAGGAGGTCAACGGTGAGAGTGGTGGGGCAAACAGAGAGGAAGTGGTCCCTGACTACACGGAGAGAGTCAGGGAGACGGGTGACTATGTAGTAGAGGGTGATGTACATGGGGGGGGGGTTCTTGGCGCAAAGCGCGGTAGCGAGTGTCACTAGTGCGGAGGTGCGTAATGAGGTCAGCGACTGTGGGAAAGGCAGCAAGGTTAGGGAACAGGTACGGTAGCATGAGGCGGCTCAGTGCAGCAGTGGCAGGGGAAGAGTAGCGTGCAACTACAGCGTCGTTCAATGTCTGAGCACTCTTGTACTGGCTAAAGTGTGCACGCTCAGTGGTCGGTAAGTGGCGGCGCACAGCAAGGCGAGCAGCAGCGTCACGTGTGGCCCACTGTGAGCGAACAGTGGCATCAGCATGAGCAGCAGGGGCAGGGGAGGCACCAGAAGTGAGTCAAACAGGGAGAGGCCGTCTGCCCTATCGCACTGCAGGAAAAGCTGCAGATCATCTACCCAGACCTCAAAGTCCACTGCCCGACCCTCAGCGTCAAAGGTGAGAACGCTAGGGGAAGCCATAACAGCAGGAGGCAGGGCAGTGCAATGGCAGAGACTGTGCTCTTACCAGGTAGGTGGAGCGATCGGGCTGCTCGGCGGCTCGGCTGTCGGGCGGCTCGGGTGCAGGGCGGCTCGGCTGCTGGGCGGCTCGGCTGCTGGGCGGCTCGGCTGCACGGTGCTAGGCGGCTCGGCTGTCGGGCGGCTCGGCTGCTGGGCGGCTCGGGTGCTGGGCGGCTCGGCTGCTGGGCGACTCGGCTGCTCGGTGCTGGGTGGCTCGGCTGTCGAGCGGCTCGGCTGCTGGGTAGGTGGTGGCGAGGTCGCAGGTGGCGGCGGGCCGCAAGGGTGGGCGGGGCCGCTGTGGCGACGGGGCCGAAGTGGGCGACGTAGCGGGGCCCCGACGGGGCCGTAGCAGGGCCTAAGTGGGGCCGTAGAGGGGCCGACGGGGCCAAAGCGGGGCCTAAGTGGGGCCGTAGAGGGGCCGACGGGGCCGAAGCGGGGCTGCGACGGGGTCGTAGCGGGGCCGTAGCGGGGCCGATGGGGCCGACAGGGCCGTAGCGGGGCCTAAGTGGGGCCGACGAGGCCGAAGCGAGGCCTGAGCGGGGCCGCGACGGGGCCGACGGGGCCTAAGCGGGGCTGACGGGGCCGACGGGGCCGTAGCGAGGCCGTAGCGGGGCCGTAGCGGGGCCTAAGCGGGGCGGACGGGGCCGTAGCGGGGCCGTAGCGGGGCCGTAGCGGGGCCGTAGCGGGGCCTAAGCGGGGCCGTAGCGGGGCCGACGGGGCCGTAGTGGGGCCGTAGCAGGGCCTAAGCGGGGCCGACAGGGCCGACGGGGCCTAAGCGGGGCCGTAGCGGGGCCATAGCGGGGCCTAAGCAGGGCCGTAGCGGGGCCGACGGGGCCTAAGCGGGGCCGTAGCGGCCTAAGCGAGGCCGTAGAGGGCGGCTCGAGGGGCAGTAAGGGCGGCCAATAGGGGCCACTAAGGCGGCTCGAGGTGCTACTCGGGTTAGGAGCTAAGCGCGCTCCGGGCAGGGAAGGAAAAAAAAAGTTCATGGTGGGCCCTAGGCAGTATTCCCACTCGGGAACCTGCTCGATACCATGACGAGAAATGAGAATGGAATGAATGAACTATGAAACATTTTGGTACAAGTACTAACCCTAATAGGGTTGTACCCCTTATGGGCTACCCCACTACAGCCTACACAAATGTATAAGCTATAATGTTCTGACAAATACGGTATGATGGATCAGATAGATTTTAATCCCTCGTGTGCCGATTCAAATGAACAGCTAAAAATGAGTCTGATTTTCAGACCATCAGACCAATTTGGTCTGATGTCGACGTCCCTGGCTGAGAAAGACGGTCATGTGAAGAATGAGGAATGGAATCAACTAGGAAAGAGGTGGGTACAAGTAGGAAAACCTAGAAATGTTGTACCCCATATAGTCTACCCCACTACAGCCTACACAGACTATAGCATATAAGTTTGACACACCCCCATAGGCAAAGTGGGGGAGAACAATAGGTCACAAGACCAGTCAAGCAAAGCAAAGCAAGCTCAGGGTGGATCACAACGTCACCACACATTTCGAGCACAAGCTCAAGGCCACAAGGCCAGTTCACATGCAAGATCATATATAAAGGTAAACAAGCAAGTGCAGGTATAGAAGATCATAGTACAAGCAAGGTCAAGAAGTGAGCAAGTGAGGCCAAGTAGGCACAAGACCTAGCATCGTACAGAAGCGCTGATGATCACCAGGCGGAAGTGCCTTGGTAAAGATATCAGCAGTGTTGGCCTCAGAGGCCACGTAAGCAAGGCGCAGCTGACCACGCTGCTGCAGCTCACGAGCAAGGAAGTAGCGAAGAGCAATGTGCTTCGTTCTGTGCTCCAGTCTGTGCTCCCGACACAAGGCCAGCATGGCCTTGTTGTCTACGTACAGAACTGGAGGAGAACGAGGCGGCTCTCCTAGGTCAGTCAGCAGGTAGGTGAGCCAGCGTAGCTCCTGTGCAGCCATGGCCCCCGCGTAGATCTCAGCCTCACAGCTGGAGCCGAGAACAGAAGACGAGCGGGTAGACCGCCACGAAACAGAGCCGGAACCAAGGTTGAAGGTGTAACCCTGTGACGAACGCTGCGTAGCCTGGTCGTCAGCCCAAGAAGCGTCTGCGTGACCTGTGAGGACCACTCGACGTCGCCCTCCAAGCACTAGCCCCATGCCCGACGTACTGCACAAGTAGCGCAACACCCTCTTCGCTGCAGCCATGTGCTCTGGTCGGTGTCTCCCAGGAGCAACATAGCGTGCCAAGATGCTAAGAGGGTATGCAAGGTCAGGTCGTGTGCAGGTCATCAGGTACATGAGGCAGCCAACAAGCTCTGGGTACTGGCCACTCGGCTCTACAGACTCATCCGAAGGGAGAGCTGAGAGCGAGTGGCGAGTAGACAGAGGAGTGGCCTGAGGCGAGGAGTACGTGAAGTCGAAGCGCTGAAGGACCTGCTGCACCATGTGTGACTGAGTCAGGGTAATGGTGCGCTGTGCTCTGTCCCGGGTGATCTGCAAGCCAAGGTAGCTGCACAGTTCACCCAGGTCTGTGCACGTGTGTCTCTTCTGCAGCTCGGACTTCACGTGGGCGAGTCCAGCAGTCTCAGAAGTGGCAAAGACCAAGTCGTCGACGTACACGAGGATGTAGAACGGCGGCAAAGAGGTGTCGGTGCGCAGAAACAGCGACGAGTCCGCTGTAGAAGGAGCAAACCCAAGAGCTGCAAGTGTAGTCCTCAGTGTGTCGTGCCATCACGGGGCGCCTGGCGGAGACCGTAGACTGGCCGCCGGAGGCTCCACTGGGTACCAAGAGGAAACCGCCCAGTGAAGCCAGGTGGGCGGCGCAGCCAGATCTTCTCGTGAAGGCTGCCTTGCAGGAAAGGTGTGCTGAAGTCAAGAGAGTGAAGCTCGTAGTCGGGCTGAGCGGCTATGTGCAGCAGCACCCGAAGAGTGGTCATCTGCGGGGTGGGAGAGAAGGTCTGAAAGTAGTCAACTCCCTGCCGCTGGCTGAAGCCTCGAGCCACGTAACGCGCCTTGAAGACAGGCGGAGAACCCGGCGGCCGCTTCACCCTGAAAATCCACATGCCACTGACGATGTTCGCCTCAGGTGGGGGAACCTCGTCGACGTAGGTGCCTGTGGACTTCCAGGAAGCCATCTCTGCGTCCATGGCTGACTGCCACTGAGAGGAGTAGGGACCCTCGATCGCCTCAGCGTACGATCGAGGAGTCGGGATGTCTGGTGCATCCGGGTCTCCCTCAGGGGCAATGAGCGTGGACACGAGATGAGGCAAAGCAGCAGCAAAACACTGGAACTCCTCCTGCCTGTCCTCAAGGACGTCCGTGCTAAGAGCACACTCACCCCCGACGGACAGAGGACAGACAAACTCAGACTCAGCAACGAGACTAGTAGCGTAGTCTAGACGACAGTGAGCAGCAAAGTCGACAAGCTCAGCAACTAAGGCAGACGCAGCAGTGGACTCAAAGGAAGGGTCAGTGACAATAGTGGCCAGGAGACGCGTGACAGTAGGACTGGCAGCACGAAGAGAGTCAGACTCTGGGTCAGCAAGAACAGGAAGAGAGGACTCTGGAGGAGACGGCAACGGGACACGCAGGGGAGCAGTGGAAGGACGCAGTGCCATCTGGTGTGTGCCTGGGACTGCAGGAGGACGCGGATGTGGAGCACGACTACTAGTGCGAGCAGCACGAACAGGCGACGTAGGATGAGACGCAGGCTCACGACGCTGAGCAAGACCTCCAGTAGGACCAGCGTAGGGAGAAGGAGCAGGCAGGGGGGAGGCGGGCTGTAACTGTGACTGCGTCTGGACAGGCTGTGGACACTCTAAGGGAGGAGCAGGACCAGTAGAAGGCGGGAGACCAAGAACCTGCTCAAGGAGCGGAATGAATTACGGCAGCGGCCGTGCAGCGCCTCCAGAAACAGCAGGGACAGCACCAGTACCCACAGCGGCAGCACCAGCGCTAGCAGCATCTCCAGCTCCAGCAGCGCCAACTCCAGCACCCTCAGAAGCACCAGCGCCAACACCCCCTGCAGCTCCAGCTCCAGAACCACCTACTCCAGCAGGACCGTCAGCTCCAGTACCGCCAGCAGCTCCAGCTGTACGTCCAGCACGACCAACTCCAGCTGCCCCAGCTGCACCCCTAGTCCCAGCAGATCCAGTACCGTCAGTACGAGCACCTCCAGGACCAGCAGCAACAGTAGCACCTCCAGCTCCAGCAGCACAGCTCCAGCGCCGGGCAAACCACTTGTCAGATATATATGACATAGCTGTTGTAGGCTATAGTGGGGTAGCACATATGGGGTACAGCTCTCTAGGGTTTGTATTTGTACCCAACTTTCACTTAGTCATTTCATTCCTGTTCTACTTTTCTCACATGGTGTCAGAGCGGGTTCCCTGTGGGAACTTCGCCTAGGGCCCACCGAAGCGCGCCCCGAGGCGCGCTAACCTTTTTTTTTTCTCTCTCTCGAGCGACCCTCCGTGTCGCCCTTCCCTCGTGGCCCCGCCGCCCTTTCAGACGCGGCCCCGCCGCCCCTTTCGAACGCGGCCCCGCCGCCATTTCAGACGCGGCCCCGCCGCCCACTTCGGACGCGGCCCCGCCCGCCCCTTCAGACGCGGCCCCGCCGCCCGCTCCGACGCGGCCCCGCCGCCTGCTCAGACGCGGCCCCGCCGCCTGCTCAGACGCGGCCCCGCCGCCCGCCCAGACGCGGCCCCGCCGCCTGCTCAGCCGCGGCCCCGCTGCTTGCTCCGACGCGGCCCCGCCGCCTGCTCAGACGTGGCCCCGCCGCCCACTCAGACGCGGCCCCGCCGCCTGCTCAGCCGCGGACCCGCCGCCCACTTCGACGCGGCCCCGCCGCCTGCTCAGCCGCGGCCCCGCCGCCCACTCAGACGCGGCCCCGCCGCCTGCTCAGCAGCGGCCCTGCTGCTCGCTCCGACGCGGCCCCGCCGCCTCCTCAGCCGCGGCCCCGCCGCCCACTCAGACGCGGCCACCCCGCCCTTCCGCGGCCCCGCCGCCTCCTACCTGCGGCCCTACGGCCGCCGCTACTGCTGACCCGTCGCTGTTTCTGCGCACCGACACTTCACTGCCGCCGTTCTACATCCTCGTGTACGTCGATGACTTGGTCTTTGCCACAGCGGACACTGCTGGACTCGCCTACGTGAAGTCCGAGCTGCTGAAGAGACACACGTGCACAGACCTGGGTGAACTGCGCAGCTACCTTGGCTTGCAGATCACTCGGGACAGAGCACGCCGCACCATTACCTTAACTCAGTCACACATGGTGCAGCAGGTCCTTCAGCGCTTCGGCTTCACGTACTCCTCGCCTCAGGCCACTCCTCTGTCTACTCGTCACTCGCTCTCAGCTCTGCCTTCGGATGAGTCCGTAGAGTCGAGTGGCCCGTACCCAGAGCTTGTTGGCTGCCTCATGTTCCTGATGACCTGCACACGACCTGACCTTGCATACCCTCTGAGCATTCTTGCACGCTATGTTGCTCCTGGGAGACACCGACCAGAGCACATGGCTGCAGCGAAGAGGGTATTGCGCTACCTGCGCAGTACGTCGGGCATGGGGCTAGTGCTTGGAGGGCGGAGTCCAGTAGTCCTTACAGGCCACGCTGACGCTTCTTGGGCTGACGACCAGGCTACGCAGCGGTCATCACAGGGTTACACCTTCAGTCTTGGTTCCGGCTCTGTCTCGTGGCGGGCTACTCGTTCGTCTTCGGTTCTCAGCTCCAGTTGTGAGGCTGAGATCTACGCCGGGGCCATGGCTGCACAGGAGCTTCGCTGGCTCACCTACCTGCTGACTGACCTTGGAGAGCCGCCTCGTTCTCCTCCAGTGCTGTACGTAGACAACAAGGCCATGCTGGCCTTGTGTCGAGAGCAGCGTCTGGAGCACAGAACGAAGCACATTGCTCTTCGCTACTTCCTTGCTCGTGAGCTACAGCAGCGTGGACAGTTGCGGCTCGCGTACGTGGCCTCTGAGGCCAACACTACTGATGTGTTCACCAAGGCACTCGCGCCTTGTGACCATCAGCGCTTCTGCACCCAGCTGGATCTTGTGCCTGTCTTGTCTCACTTGCTCTCCTCTTGACTTTACTTGTACTGTGACATATATATACCTGCTCTTGCTTGTCTAGTTTTATATATATATGTCTGTACTCCTGCATGTGAACTGGCCTCTGGCCCTGCTCTTGTGCTCGGACTGTGTGGTGACTTTGTGATCCACCCTGAGCTTGTTTTGCTTTACTTTGCTTGACTGGTCTTGTGACCCCTTGTTCTCCCCCACTTTGCCTATGGGGGTGTGTCAGATATATATGACATAGCTGTTGTAGGCTATAGTGGGGTAGCACATATGGGGTACAGCTCTCTAGGGTTTGTATTTGTACCCAACTTTCACTTAGTCATTTCATTCCTGTTCTACTTTTCTCACACCACTCGCGCAGCTCCTGCGGAGAGAGTAGCTCCCGCCTCGACGAAGCACCGCGAGAGGCCACACGAGAAGACCCGGCACCCCCAGGCTCCGCACCCCCAGGCTCAGCACCCCCAGGCTCAGCACCCCCAGGCTCAGCACCCCCAGGCTCAGCACCCCCAGACTCAGCAGCCCCAGGCTCAGCACCCCTTGACTCAGTTCCCCCAGGCTCTGCACCCCAAGGCTCTGCACCCCTAGGCTCGGCACCCGCAGGCTCAACACCTCTAGCAGCACCAGAGTCAACAGCTACCTTGACCGGCTCAACTACGTCTACATGGGACACACCTGACAGGGCAGGACCCTAAGGGGGGAGGAGGTCTACCGGGGGAGGATTTGGCGCAAGGAAGAGCGGGGGCGGGGGGAAGGGCGCAGTGTGGTAGGGGAAGAGACGGTAGTAAGGCACCGACTCGTCAAAGGTGACGTCTTGGGAGGACAGAACACAGCGCGAGGTGGGGTGGTAAAACTGCCACCCAGGCGCGTCAGGGGGGAAGCCAAGGAAGACGCAGGGAACAGCACGGGGGACAGCTTGTCCGCAGACAAGTCGCGGACAAACGCCCGAGATCCCCAGACCCGAAACGCAGACGCATCGCCAACCTTCCCCGTCCACCGCAAGGTGGAGGAGGTCTCTGGCAAGGAGACCCGGGGCTGAAGGTTGAGCTAATGCGCTGCGTACTGAACCGCAAATGGCCACAGAAAATGGGGGGCAGCCGCATGGATCATGGACGTACGAGCGACGTCCATGACCATGCCAATGCGGCGCTCAGCAATCCCATTTTGCTGTGGAGAGGCCGGAAGCGTGAAGATTTGGCGGATGCCATGTGTAGGACAGAAGGCTCCCAGACGGGCAGAGGAAAACTCCCCGCCTCTGTCAGAGTGCAGACGCAGAACAGGAAAGTCCGAGCCGAAACTCTCTCTGAGCTGGAGACGAGCTGCGCGGATCCAGTCGATCAACACCTCAGTGACGCCACCCTTGCTGCGCAAGGGGAACACCGTGGTGTAACGCGAGTAGTCGTCAACCACCAACAGGAAGTAACGCTCGTGACCCTGGCCACGGACGCGGGCGGGGCCCCACACGTCCATGTGAAGAGTCTGTAGCGGAGCCTCTGTCGGAGGAAACTCGGAGGAGTGAGGGGCGGCGCGCTTCCGCCCCTCGACGCAGGGGACGCAGGTAGGGGCAGGCCCCGGAGGTAGGGGAGGGAGGGACCTGGGGAGACCTGAGACAAGGGCACGGGAGGCCATGCCTCGGAGACGAGGCAGGGAGGGGTGACCAAGGCGGTGGTGCCAAAGGAGAGTCTGGTGGGATAGGAGACGACACGAGCAGGGACCAGACTCAGGATCAGACCTGGACGCTGCAGCAAACACCCGACTCGACGCAGCTACTTGACCAGACTCAGCAACCGGAGGAGACTCAATAGTCAGTGTGTACAGGCTCGACCCCGGCCGACGGGTAAATGTTGCCAAGTGTCGGACCGTCCGGGCACACGTACAGTGGGTCACCCGCTGACTCGCAGGAGTGAACTGGTCAACTCCCCTATCCTGTAGATCAGCTCCACTCACAAAGTTCGTAGAGAACGAGGGGAGGTAGAGACCTGACAGGGTGCCAGAGGGGGCTGCCGGACACGGTAAGACAGTGGAGAAGCGAGCAAGGACAGGACCCCTAGAGGGGTCCGCCAGGGAGACCGCAACCGTCAGACTAAGCGGCGTATGCGTGGTGCGGTCTCAAAAGAAGGAGCGGGAAGCACCTGAGTCAAGGGTGAAGGTGTGTAAGGCCTGAGCCGACGTGGTACCTGAGAGAGCAGACTCACCAGCACCTGGGGCAGCAGACGCACTAGCACCTAGAGCAGCAGCCTCAATGCCCGGGTCAGGCGGAACACACAGGTAACAGTCACCCTCATCACTAGACGACACAGCATACATGGCAGCAAGAATAGCATCATAATCCACATCAAAGATAGCAACCCCCGCCCTAGACAGCTCTCCCCAGCGAGGGATCTCAGTGGCGTCAGGGAACTGATGACGCCACGCGTCCGTCAGGCGGCCGAAGCAGCGCTGGGTGGAGTGCGGGCCCCCGCACTGCTCACCTGCGCGGTCGCCGGTACGGGGGACGTAGGTGCAGGGACCAGTACCCCCACCTCGCTGACGCCCCGCGTACCACTCACGAAGCTGCTGGGGGGACGGGGTCTCACGGCTGCGCTGCTGCTGCTGGCGCGGACCACCACCGGAACCACTCCTCTGCACAGAGCCGCGACCAGCTCCACCGCTGCCGCCGCCGCCTCCGCCACCTCCGCCACCTCCGCCACCTCCGCCGCCTCCGCTCCCTCCGCCACCGCCGCCGCCTCCTCCGCCTCCATTGCTGCCATCGACACCTCCACCCCCGCCACCACTCCCACCACCGCCCCCACCCCCTCCACTGCCTCCACCACCACCTCCACCACCCCCGCCAGCCCCTCGAGCGCCCTTGCCCCCCTTGCCCTTGCCGGTGCGGCGTCTCCCGCTAGGGGCAGACGTAGTGCCGACCGACTCGAAGCCAACGAGGTCGGCTGCAGCAGCAGAAGCAACAGAGGGCATGAGGGGGGAGGGGGAACACCCCTTAAAGACGGGGGTGCGAGGGTCACCACGAGAGGCTCCTACAGCGACTATGCTCTTTTCTGCTGCTAGGAGGCGCTCCTCGAGGAGGTCAACGGTGAGTGTGGTGGGGCAAACGTAGAGGAAGTGGTCCCTGACTAATCGAAGGGAGTCAGGGAGCCGGGCGACTATGTAGTAGAGGGTGATGTACATGGGGGGGGGGTTCTTGGCACAGAACTCAGCAGGAAGCGCAGCGCGGTAGCGAGTGTCACTAGTGCAAAGGTGCGTAATGAGGTCAGCGACTGTGGGAAAGGCAGCAAGGTTAGGGAACAGGTACGGCAGCATGAGGCGGCTAAGAGCAGCAGTGGAAGGGGAAGAGTAGCGTGCAACTACAGCGTCGTACAAGGTCTTAGCACTCTTGTACTGACTAAAGTGCGCACGCTCAGTGGTCGGTAAGTGGCGACGCACAGCAAGACGGGCAGCAGCATCGCGAGTGGCCCACTGTGAGCGAACAGTGCTGTCAGCATCAGTAGGCGGGGCAGGAGAGGCACCAGAGGTGAGATCAAGCAGGGAGAGTCCATTTGCCCTATCGCACTGTAGGAACAGCTGGAGGTCATCGACCCAGACCTCAAAGTCAACAGCACGACCCTCAGCATCAAAGGTAAGGACACTGGGGGTAGCCATGACAGCAGTGGCCTAGCAGGGAGTGATCTCACCAGTCCGAGTGAGTAGGGCCAGAGCGCGCCGGTAGGAACAGGGCGGTAACCGCGGTGGCGGCGGCTCGGCAGTGACTAGGTGGCTCGGCGGCTCGGCTGCGGGGCGGCTCGGCGGCTCGGCTGCTGGGCTGCTGGGCGGCTCGGCTGCTGGGCGGCTCGGCGGCTCGGCGGCTTGGCTGCTGGGCGGCGCGGTGGCTTGGCGGCTCGGGTGCTGGGCGGCTCGGCGGCTCTGCTGCTGGGCGGCTCGGCGGCTCGGCTGGTGACGGGGCCGTGAAGGTCGGCGACGGGGCCGGTAGAGGCGGCGACGGGGCCGGTAGAGGCGGTGACGGGGCCGTTAGAGGCGGCGACGGGGCCGCAAAGGGCGGCGAGGTGGCCGCGAAGGGGCGGCGAGGTGGCCGCGAAGGGCGGCGACGGGGCCGCTAGGGGTGGCGTCGGGGCCGATAGGGGCGGCGACGAGGCCGCAGAGGGGCTGCGAGGGGCCTAGAGGGGCGGCGACGGGGCCAAGAGGGGCGGCGACGGGGCCGCGAAGGGGCCGTGAGGAGCCTAGAGGGGCGGCGATGGGGCCGCTAGGGGCGGCGACGCGGCCGCAAAGGGGCCGCGAGGGGCCTAGAGGGGCGGCGACGGGGCCGCTAGGGGCGGCGACGGGGCCGCGAAGGGGCCGCGAGGGGCCTAGAGGGGCGGCGACGGGGCCGCTAGGGGCGGCGACGGGGCCGCGAAGGGGCGGCGAGGGGCCTAGAGGGGCGGCGACGGGGCCTAGAGGGACGGCGACGGGGCCGCAAAGGGCGGCGACGGGGCCGCTAAGGGGGGGGCACGAGGGGCCGTGAGAGGGGCCGCTAAGGGAGCGCGACGTGAGGGCGGCCTACGAGGCGCGCCTCGGGCAGGAAAAAAAAAATGGAGTTTAGTGGTGGGCCCTGAGAAGCGTTCCTACGAGGGAACCTGCTCTATACCATGTGAAGAATGAGGAATGGAATCAACTAGGAAAGAGGTGGGTACAAGTAGGAAATCCTAGAAATGTTTTACCCCATATAGTCTACCCCACTACAGCCTACACAGACTATAGCATATAAGTTTGATAGGTCACAATACCAGTAAAGAGAAACAATAAGGCAATAACAGGCAACTCTGTGTCAAACTAATTATATATGTATAGGCTGTAGTAGGGGCACATGTCTAAGGATGTAGCCTTTAGTGATGCGTATCATATGGAGTGCAACAGTTAGGGTTAGGTTTATGTACCCCAACCCGCAATAGTCAATCATCATTTGAGTTTTTGACATGGTATCACCTAGGTTAGGATCCTTTAGGATCCCATTCCTCCCCCTAACGCCCGTAGCGCTCTACCGTTCCGTAGCGCCTGTCGTGCTTGCCTGTCCCGTCCCGTCGCGTCGTGCCTGCTGGTTGCGTCGTGCCCGTCTGTCCAGTCCAGTCGCGTCGCGTCTGCCTACCCCGTCCCGTCGCATCGCGTCTAGCCGTCCCATCCCGTCGCGTCACGTCGTGCCTGTCCCATCCTGTCCCCGCACGTCGCGCCCTGCACCCTGCCCGTACGCGCACGCTACGCCATGCCCGTCCGCCCGTCCGCGTGCGTTATGCTCTGCCCGTCCGCGCCTTTTTTCGCCCTGCCCGTCCACGCCTGTTGTGCCCTGCCCATCGCGCCCGTTGCGCCCTGCCCGTCGCGCCAATTGCGCCCTGCCCGTCCGTGCCTGTCGCGCCTTGCCCGCTGCGCCCGTTGCGCCCTGCCCGTCTGCACCTGTTGTGCCTTGCCCGTTGCGCCATGCGCCCTGCATGACGCGCCCTGCGCCCTGCCCGTCCGGTCTCACCGCGCTTGCCCTTTCCGCCGCGCCATGCCCGTCCCGTTACGTCCCTTCCTTCTCGTCCTGTACCGCACTGCTTGCCGCGCCCTCCTCCGACCTTCTAGACGATTTCTCTACGCTTCCGCTAGTGTCCTCCATTTTGACGCCGGGGGTAGGCCGCTCGAGTTCTCTGTCTGGCTCCTACGTGCACAACGCCTCCTAGAGAGTCGGGTTCAGCAGACGAGTCCCTGTGGGCGCACGCTTCCGGTGACCTCCGTGCGCCCCCCGATCATGATTCCTTAGGCGCTGACACCACCATGAGGCCAGAGATCGTGTTGCACGCCAGCGTGCTGCGCTGACCGCTTAGAGGTTGCGCGACGCTGCGGCCTGCATCGCCCTCAGCAGCCTCCTCCCCGAGTCTGAGGAGACCCACTTCACCCAAGATCGCACGGCGATCAAGGCCCGCTACGCTACTCCCACCACTGTCTCTCTCGGTCACCAGTTCCTCCCCTTCCTGTTTCCTGACCTCACCTCGTTTGAGCGCTCTGCTAACTTGATCTCTCACCTGCATTCACTGGATTCTAGCTACTGCGCCGCCTGCACTGACGCTCAGCTTGCACTGCTCCCCGCCCCCCCCCCCCCCCCCCCATGACGATTAAAATCTATTTCATCGCCACTAGCCTCCCTGACCGCCTAGCCTCGGTTCGTGACGCGCTTCTTCCGAACCACCCTATCGAGCTCACTATCGACGTTCTTGAGTCTGCCCTCAAGGACGTCGAGAGCAACCTCCGCTCAGTAGCCTCCGCCTCTGGTGCTGTGCCCTCGCCACTGTTTCATGGGTGCACTGTCCTTCAGCTGCCCACCTTTACTGCCTCCCTCGCTACTGTCGCTACTAACATGAACATTGCTGCTGTTGCGATTTTTGCGCAGTCTAGAGCTCGGAATGGCAGGAGGGGTGGCCAGGGTGCGGTCGGCAGTGGCGGCGGCGGAGGTGGTGTTGCGGGCGGCGGTGGTGGAAGTGCAGGAGTTGGTGGAGCACCTGGTGCCGCGTCTAGTGACTCCCCTACTGTGGCTGGTGGAGGTGCCGCTCGGGTTATTCGGGCACCTGCGAGAGTGCCAGCTGCAGGTGCTGGAGTGGCGGCTTGGTACCTGGCTCAGAGACAGTAGCAGCAGCAGCCACTCCTCTCGCAACGGCCACAGCAACAGCAGGGGTCAGGACCACGTCAGCAGTCGCGTGGTGACGCCCACCCTCCCTGCCCTTATATCATTTAGACAGGTACTCGCAGCGGCTTCCGCTGTGACCGCTGCCACCTACCGGGTCAGTGCTTTGCTCAGCTCACTGACACTCTTCGCGCGGCCTACGGTGTTGACGGCCCTGCCCCTGACTGGCTTCCTCTTGTTCACTCGTGCGGTGCCGCTCTGTGGGCTATGTCTGCTTCTTAGTTGCTTGATCTCTTAGGAACTCCTCATGCTGTGTATGCTGTTGTTGAATCTAGTGCTTCTTACTCTGTTTACTCTCGTGTTTGTAGCTTAGGTGCTAGTGTTGATCCTATGCCAGTTGCTAGTGTAGGTACTTGCTTAGGTACTAGTCCAGGTGCTGCTCTGGAGGACACTTCGCTGTCTTTCACTCGGGACCAGACACTGCTCGCTACACTACTACGCTTCTGTGCCCGGCTGCTCCCTCGAGTTTCCTGACTGGCTTTCATGTCCCCTTGTTCTCCAGGAACTTGGTGGGTGTGAGGCCACTCGTGGGTAGTCACATGGGTGTTTGGTTTGAGCCTTCTGGGGACACTGCGACCTGTGTAGACGGTGACACGTACGCACCCCTGGCCACCTTTCACGCTTAGCCAGGCTCTGGTCTCTACACAATTTACACTGGCCCCCGCGAGAGGCAGCAAGAGCAGCGGCAGCAAGAGCAGCAGCGGCTACCTCTGACCCTTATCACTGCCCCCCGTCAGGTCCCAGCGTCTCACCAGGTTGCTGCCACCCACCATGTAGCTATGTCTGGTCAGGTTCCAGCGTCAAGACCGGTTGCTGCGTCTTGTTCCTGTCGGTCGCTTGCCCACCCCACTGTTCTGTACCACCACTGCCTTGGTCACCCGTCTGTTCATCGCCTACGCACTATGTCTACTCAGCGTCTCGTCTTAGGCCTCCCGCGAGTCTTGCCGTCGCTGCCGCCTTCGCTTGCACCACCTTGTGCCCCTTGTGTCGAGGGTCAGCTGCGCGCAACCCCTCACTCCTCCTCCCATCGTCCAGCCACCGAGCCCTTCAAGACCTCCACTTGGACGTCTGGGACCCTGCCTCTCGCCCTGGACCCGAGCGAGAGAGTTTCTTTCTGGTGGTCGTTGACAACTACTCTCGCTACACCACCGTGTTTCCTCTAGCGAAAAAGTCCGACGTGACTTCTACGCTGATCCGGTGGTTATTCACCACTGAGGGCACTCGTGGCCGTCGTGTTCGTTGTCTTCACTCTGACCGTGGGGGTGAGTTTTGCTCCGGCTTTCTCGCTGGATTCTGTCGTGAACAGGGCATTCGTCAGTCCTAGACGCTTCCAGATTCCCCACAGCAGAATGGGGTTGCTAAGCGCCGCATAGGCTTGGTCATGGATATCGCACACACCTCCATGATTCACACCCGTGCGCCCCATTTTCATTGGCCCTACGCGGCTCGATACGCCGCTCACCAGTTGAACCTCTGGCCACGTGCCTCTCTGCTTGGGGCTTCACCGACCAGTCCCCTGGTGATGCGTCGTGCTTTCGTGTCTAGGGCTGCTTGGCACGTGTTCGCGACACCTCCGCAGACAAGATCTTGCCTCACACCATTCCCTGTGTCTTCCTTGGTTTCCCCGAGGACTCGTCTGACTTCACCTTTTACCACCCTCCCCTTCACCGGTTCTTTGACTCCCGTGACGTCCGTTTTGACGAGTCAGTCCCCTATTACACCCGGTACCTCTGTCGAAGTCTTCCGGTTCCTCCTCCCCCTCTCTTCCTAACTCCCACTCCCCCTCCGGCTCCTCAGGTAGAGCCCCCCCCCCCCCCTTGGTCCAGCCCTGTCAGGTGTGTCACACGCTACCCCCTCCCCCTTGGTAGCCCCTCAGGTCTCGTCCCCTTCTCCGCAGTCCTCCTCACAGTCACCGCACTAGCCGTCAGCACTTCCTCTTGAGGCTGCAGCAGCCGCC